TAATAAAGATATTTTATTTTAATTATGAAAATATTATAGCATATTTTTTAATTTTTGGAACCTAACCCTCCTTTTCATACTAGTTCTTTGTTTCGTATAACACGGATCCGCATAACACGGCAATTTTTTGGAACATAACTACCGTGTTATACGGGGGTTACCTGTATATTAGAAAAAGAGCATTTATAAAATACATATTTCAGGTGGTCACAGAAACCAATACATACAAAAATATACTGTGACTATGCCATAATCAGAGAAAAACAATACATCACAACAGATCAGACATTACAGTCATTGACAAGGAAAATAAAATCATAAACATCATAGACATATCTTTTTCAACACTTGCAACGTACAAAATATATACACTGAAAAATTAGTAAATATTCAGAATTTGCCCATAAAATTAAGCATCTATGGAGAAGAATGGATAAGATACTTAATGTGCCAGCATTCTTATCTTGCGTAATGTCATACCACACACACCACAAAAGTCTAGAAACATGAGGGCTTCACACTAGCATATAAATCAGCACACTACAGAAAGCTACTTTACTAAATATAGGCCACAGTTAGGAAATCCTTTAGTACAGTTATATACTTGAACAGCACATAAACAAAACATTTGTTTTCTGTAATTATGCATTGACTTTGGTCTAGCAAGGCTTTAAGTTCCAGTATATATGCTATGTAGGAAATACTTCACCAGCATTATAGCAATAATAATAATAATAATAATAATTTCTTAATTTTGATTTTTTTTTCTAATTTTTAAAAAAAAATTTTTAGATCATACTGCACGTATTTGGGATATTCAAACTAGTTCCTGTTTGTTACAATATCTTGGTCATGCTGGTTCTGTAAATTCAATTAGATTTCATCCTTCACAGGATCTTGTTATTACTTCTTCTGGAGATCAAACAAGTCATGTTTGGAGAGCTTCAGTATCAACAACACAGGGCAGTGAACAAACTGTAAGTTCTTACTGATAAAATTATAAATATTTTCTATATTATTAGTATGAAATATAAATACAGTTGAAAATCTTAATATATCAACAGCATTCATTTACAGATTGCTGTAATATGATTATCAACTGTAAATGTACTAGTAAATAATTTACTTCATTGTAAAATCAAGTAAAATTCTACTGAGAACATTACATGAGATTTAAATTGAATTGTCTGTTCAGTTTTTATTTATAGTAAAACCTCACCAAGTGTTAACCTGAAGTCATGTTAACTCTAAGCTATCAACAAGTCCTTGGCACAGTATGCAGGGTTTTCTGTATAATACAGTCTTATTAAGTTAAAATTGCCAGTACTTTAACTTGAACTTATTTTTTGTGTACTCTTTTTTTGATAGGTCTGTGATCTTCATTTTCTTTTATATTCCATGTGAATACAGACAATTAAGATAAAAGAAACACTATGGTTTCAAGCCAAACACTCCATCAACCTTGTGTCAAATTCCTTCATTGATATAGTATGTTACCTACCTTCTGATTGGGACAGAAAGAGGCACATTGACAACATCCTCGAAAGGCTTCTAAACTATTCTGTACATACTATTCATAGAATAATTGCATAATTGTAATTATTTTAGGATTCTTGAGATTCTTGACAGATTCTTGAGAAGGCTTGATAACAATTGTATGGGAGAAAAATTTGAGAAAATCAGATATTAAACTCATTACTTTAAAACTCTAACTCAAAGTTGAGATTTGTTTTACTTATAACTTGCTTTTATTCTGACAATATATACAGTGACTACCACAAAGTATTTAGACACCTCTCCAAAACTACAGGTGATCTGTATCCAGACTGCATGTCTGCCAGTGTTATAAATATTTCAGCACAATGCAACAACTGCTACAATTCCATGCAGTGCAGAGCTTAGACTTTTTGTGAAAGGTGAAATTATAGGTGTCATTGATGTGGAAAGTTGATTTGTGAAATCACAGACACTGCAGCACCTCAAATCAATTGTGTGTGGTGATATAGTCAGTGGAAGATGGGTCACTGATTTGGTTGGTTATCCCAATCTGGGAATGTGACCCAGATTAGGATAACCAATCAAACTGCAACCCAGGGCCATAGGGTACTGCTGTGTGAACTATAGGAAAATTACACCCAACCATGGAAAGAATGTCATGAATTCCAAATAGCCATAGGAATATCAGTCTACTAATTACACAAACACAGTCCAAAAAGAGCCCATGAGTTAGGCCAGTGGTTGGTAACATATTTTTTGTGGCACAGTCTATAGAATGATAATGAAACTTTTTCAGTACTTTAATAAAAAATAATTTACTAAAAATATTTTTAATAATATAATTTATAAGATATAAATTAAAATTTTGATATAACTATTAATAAAATGTGGAATGATCTTCCAGAGAGATTTTCATGTATGAAAAAATTCACATTTGCTCTTAACTGCTTTCAGTACAACATACTGCTGTGAGAAAACATTCTCAATGATGAAATCTATATATATATATATATATATATAAATGAATGTGTGTGTGTGTCCTTCATGCATTACCACACCGTTTATCCGATTGCCGTGAAACTTTGAGAAGTTGTTTAATATACTCCTGTGAAGGTTTCTGGCGTAGTACGATTGCCATGAAGCCTTGGGAAGTTTTTTAATACACTCCCGCAAAGGTTTCTGGTATTTATCCTAAGATAGATGGCACGCATTTACATGAGCATTCGAGCAGTGTGTGTTCAATCGATTTCAAATTGTGAAGACAATTTTCCCCCTTCAAAAAATCTCTCTATATATGCATTTGCGAACTGTTATTTACGATATTTGTAATAATTTTTGTTTAATCACTTTATTTCAACTTTCTTTTGCTNTTTGAAAAGCGTGCACAATGTAGATGCATATTACAGTACTTTCATAGTATTCAAAAGCAATGATGACAAATAAATAATTTATTATCATTTTTTTAATTTAATTTAAATTTTTTAAATTGATATGAAAAAGATAAGAAAAAAGTAATTAAATATTTATTTTATATATGCATCAAAATAGTATAAAAAAACTTAACAAAAATTTGTGAATGGTTGTCTCTTTAATCCGACTTATTCTTTCGGTAGACTTATCTTACAGCTTCAGGTTAATGTCGGATTAAAAGAATAAGTCGAAAGAATAAGTCAGATTAAAGACACAACCATTCACAAACAAATATACAGCTATAACCAGTAAATTTAACAAAAATTGTTTATCAATAAAATAATAATATAAAATGATATATTTTATAATTAAATTTAAAAAACAATAGAGAGACTATTATTTTACATGTAGGTATTTCGACAAAATTCTATGGACTTAAATTTTCATTTTTAACACGTAGAAACGCTGTTTTTTTGCATTAAAATGCTACTTCAAATTGTCTATTTTTAAAAGTTTTCTTCCCGGGGAGGAAACTCCCTCCCCGGACCCCACCCCAGTGTTGCGCGTAATATCCGTTTTCGCAAAAAATTTATCTGGCCCATTAAACCCTTATTCAGATCCGCCGCTGGTCAAGGGTGTCACGATTTTTTATTTTTCAATCGGGTGCCACTCAATGAAAAAGGTTGAAAAACACTGGGTTAACCGATGTGACGGTTAATCGGGGGTCAGATAATCAATGCTCTACTATACATTAAATTTAATTCGAGATTTGGTATAAGTACTATAAGAGATACATTCAAGAGTTGGCTGGCCAAGACATAGGGTGTAAGCTGTTGCTCTGGAGAAGATTTGGTTTCTGGTTAGACCCTCAAATTTTCATGAATAATTTGATCCAGATATGTCATGTCCTAATCATCATAACTTATCTTCAATCATGGACCTGATAGAATCTGTTATGGGCTTACAGTGAAAACTTCTTAGTGCTTGCAAGGCAAAAAGTTTTAAAAATGTTGTTTATTTAAATACTTCTAACTTTTTTATATAAAATGTATGTAATTTGTTACTTATAATAAGAACTATTCATTTTTATATCATATAAAGTAACTAACTAATTTTAATAATTTTAGATGGAGAACAAAACTTTGTTGCTTCCGTGGTAAAATCACCACTTAACGAATTGCAAGGACATACCAGTGTTGTTATTGCAGCAGACTGGTTGGCTGGAGGAGATCAGGTTATTACTGCTTCTTGGGATCGAACAGCTAATGTTTATGATATTCAAACAGGAGAACTCGTCATACAATTAGCAGGTAAGCTGTCAATTATTTACTATTATAATTATTATTAAAGGACCATTATGAATTTTATATCAAATGTAAACGAAATTGATAATGTCTTTTTAGACAATGACTTTAAACTAGGAAAAATTGAAACATTTGTATGGTAGTATTGTTAATTAACTATAGAATAAATCATTCTTAGTATAAATTACTATGATTAAATGTTTTAATAAAAAATATATATTTTGTCATTAATTGCTTTTGTTTGTGCATAAATTTTTAATTCTCATTTATATTTTTGTGTTTTGAAAACACAGAAATTTCAAAACTTTTATGAAAATATAATTACTTTTAAAATGAATAATTGGTTTCAGATGCATAATTGTAAAAATTTCAATGTCCATTCCATCACCAGAAAATTTTCCTTATTAAGATAAGGTGAGATCCTTGGTCCAGCAAGTATCTGAAAAATAATATCAGTTAGTTTTTAAATAATCTAAATTCTAAAGTGTAAAAACTTACCTTGAGCTGTATCATCAGCTTTTATAAATAAGTGTAACAGTGCCTTTTTTCAACACTTTAATTGATTTTATTTTGAATATTTTATTCATTTATTACTCAGGCTTACACTGCAATAAAAGATAATTGTTCATTATTTTTATTAAGGAAACATATGTAATTAATAGATCGATATCTTCAGTAGTATATACCAATTAGGGATTGCATTACCAGCAAATCAGTTAAAAATGCAATGATAAATATACTGGCAATTTTATATTTTTTTAACCAGTAAATTTGTTATAAATAGGTAGACATGTAATAATTTTTTGAAACCAAACATTTATTTGTATACTGTTTCACATAAATTAAAATTTTTATATTCTAGCTATTTTCTAAGAAAACAAAACTGAATTTTGCAGCATAGAAAATTAAAACAATACAAAAAAAAAGAGTTTACAACTGATCTAAATCTAAAATAAATTGTTTTAGCAATCAATGTAAATTGATAGCAATTGGAAACTCTGTTGATAGGTAACATGCAACCACTTCACAATTGGCAATCAGCTCATAGACTTTATATGGTAAACTGGACAAGTGAGAAAAGTCAGAACCCTTGTTGAAAAATTGAAAATTATAGACGAAGTAGAAGGAAATTCGTCAGAAAAAAGGGTTAATAGAGGAAATGGAACAAATTTCAGTATTCTTGACGATTTTTAAAATAGAATAAACGAACGCCCATGAGCATGCTCCATATCTTTTAGTATTACAGAAAGCCATCATATAAGCTTAACACTGGAAAATATACGTTTCATACGAGAACGAAACAATAAAAACATCGACGTCATAAATTTCCCTTGTCAATCGTTTTTTCGCATTACTCGTTTTTCTCCCAAGTCCGCCAAAAACGATAGATCGAGAATCCACTGTATTACATTCACTTAATTACTGCGACAATGATATAGCGCGTCTATCTCGCGCTATATCATTACTGCAACAGGTAGCATATAGCCCTTGAATCCTCTCTTCAAGGAGATGAACTACTTTTGGTCGAATTACTTCAACCTCCCTCTGCAACAGCTCCTTTCTATAGGACAGCGGTATGGTGGCATTCGAGTAGGAAAATTACATAATACAAGGTTACCGGCGAACACAAAATATGTTTTAAGCGGTTCTCGAGGGTGCCGATTTTAAATATTTGGTCCGTTTTTTGCGAAATTTGATTAGTTAGCAGATTACCGTTTATATTCGATTGTGAATGATACTGTTTCTTAGAGTTAGGGAAAAATATATGTTAAAATATTTAAGATATCACATTTTCAATTGGTATCTACTTGACCAATGAAATTGTGCCATTTCGTATCATTCCAGTATCGCGATAGGTAGGCTGAAATTGCCAAACTCTATCGGCCGATTGCAGAGATAGAGTTTACATTAAACGACGTTTATCAACGAACGGCCTATAGCCGTTGGCTGGCTGAACCGCAGTTTAAAATGCGTTGCAAAGACGACGATCGTCTATTTCTGACCGTTCTCTAAACGAACTTCGGAAAAACATTGGCTCTTACTTACTTCGCTATTACTCCCCTGTTTTAGGAGTCGTTCAGCCAATCGGGTTATTTCTTCGTGACGTCAGAAATGGTCGTCAGCTATATTCCGAAAGCTTAAGGCCGTCAAAATCATTGTTCGGCAATTAGTGACAATCCTTTTCCATTTCGATATTTAATTTCGTCGCCNTCTCTATATATGCATTTGCGAACTGTTATTTACGATATTTGTAATAATTTTTGTTTAATCACTTTATTTCAACTTTTTTTTGCTAATTATGTATTCACTTGAACTTCGTTGAAACCTTAACTGTACCCCGAACAACAACCGAAGTTGTAGGAAGAAATTCGCGTATTTTACCAATCTAGATATCCCCCTTTTCCAAATTTTAAAATTGACTCAAAATAATTTAAAAAGACAAATTACAATAAAACGGTTTATTATCCAACTATCAGAAATTTCACAACATGCCAAGGAAGAGAGGAAGGAGCAATTAAATAATTAAAATT